ATTATAAGAGGAGGTAAGATTAAAACATACAAACAGATTTATTTATTTGAAATTAATATTTTTTAACTTATTATTATTATTATTATCTGATTTGTAAATATCTACCAAAAAAAAAAAATCAAAAAAAAAAGCATGGGAAGATGATCCATCATTAAGATCATCACTTCAGGATATTTTCCTTCAATTAAATCATTTACATTTACAATATCCTAGTTCTCATACTGAAACAGGCTTATTCCCATTAAAAAATATTGAATCTTTAAAACAAGGCCAGAAACCTATTCCTGTAAGTGAAGAAGATAGTGGTAGTCAATCCAACAAACCACCTCAAGCTGCTCTAATTACACAAATTATGACATTTGATGAGGGTATGAAAGCTCATAAAGCAAAAGATCGCAAAACAGCATGGACATGTTTTCAAGCACATGCTGATCTTAAAAATTCAGATGCAAAATATTGGAAAGGATATTATTTGTGGGAAGGATATTGTGGTTACAATGATAAAGCATTGGCAACTAAATTGTTTAAAGAAGCAGCTGATGAAGGTGTTCCTGCTGCACAATTAAGATATGCATTCTCATTAGTTGAAAATGAAACCAATTTTAACAAAGAAGAATTTATCAAATATCTTAAATTGGCTGCTAACAATTGTATTATCACAGCACAATTTAATGTTGGTGATATGTATATCAATGGAAAACTTGGTGTTGCAAAAGATACAGTACAAGGAATTAAATATTTGAAATTGGCAGCTTTAAATGGACATCCAAAAGCTAATGAAATGTTAAAGGGGATGAAAGTTGATATTTATACCAGCTAATCTTATTAAAAAAAAAAAAAATATTGTCATAACTGTATTTTTGTAAGCACACTTTATTGTGTTGTTGACCATCAAAACATATGTTACATCAATATTAATATGTATGGGTTTTTTTAATATCTTTATCATATATTCCAACATGTAAATATTGACAAAGAAATTTTTATTAATTTATCAGTTATGATCAAAATTTTTATGGTAAAATTTAATAATAAATCGGATAACTTTAAACCATGATAAATTTTTTTTTTTTTGGCAATAAAATTGAATGAAACCTTTTTTATATAGTTGGCTTGGTCTAAAGTTTTGGGCAAATTTTAAAAGTATAGAAGTCATTTTCTGTTTGTCCTACCTTTTAAAAAAATAACCTCATTAGTTGGTTTCTAATTTTAATGTAATGAAGAAATTTTTTCCAAAAAATTATTTGTTGTAGAGTTCTATTCTTGTTAAAACATGTACTTTACTATCAGCCACGGGACATTGCAGATCAAATGTCATTCATTATAACCATGTTTGTTCTTAGCCTGGAAGTTAACTCTTTGAATTCCTCCTCTTTAAAATCTCTCAGGACACGAGGAGTCAACTTCTGGACAGTCAATTAAGTCAAGCCTGATATGTTGAATAGCATGTAAACCCTTCGCGTTATTCTCATCAATTTATCTCCCAGTTCTCGTTTTATTTCTTGATGTACTTTGGTTCTCCAAATTGAAGGACTATCTTTAAAAATTTTTCTAAATATGTAGTAAAGTAATACTTGAAAGTAGAGCTATATTTTCGAAATTTTAACTTATTCAAGATAATTTTCTTATCCTTGTCTTCGAGTTTTAATAAACCTATCCTGACAATAAATTCATACTAATCCCGTGTATAATTATTTTCTTTTATTTTATATTTGTAACTATATTTTTTATTCTTTTCATTTAGTGAGGTAATATTTAATAAATTTCAACAATCAGAATTATCAGATGATTCTACAGATTTTGAAGAAAGTTATGAAGCCAGCAATAGATGTGAAACAATTCCTACTAAAACTTTGCATACAAAAATTAAGTATCTAAGAAACATGATTTATGATGTAAAAAAAATGTTTAAAATTAAATTTTTGTTTTAATTAAATCTAAATAAAAATTGAATTTTATATTTTGTCATCTTTATCGTGATTTGACTTTCGACTTTTACCCTTTGTCACTTTTCGTCACTTTCGTCACATTTCGTCACATGTGCCGCCCCATTTGACGAAATACTTTTTACACTCCAAAATATTTTCGTCACCCAACCTTGAAAATGGTGACGGAGAATTTGATAAATGCTTTTATATTTAGCAAAACCGGTCCAACCGGTTTTATTAAATTCGGTTGCCCAAAATAAACCGGTTTTATTATATCGAATATGAAAAATAGGAACCGGTTTTACGTTGTAACCGGTTGTAACCGGTTTTAAGTTAATTGTTATGTAGAAGAAATAAAAAACATGTTAAAAAGCTCTTTTGCAGATACAGATGTTTTAACTACTGGAGTAGAAGTTAGTCAAGCTATTTCATCAATGAGTACTATTAGTAGTTTAGAAGCAACTAAACAGGTACTTAATGTAGTTGGTACAGTTGGTGAAGCTATTAGACCATTTCTTCCACTGATAGGAATTGTAACTGTTTTGGTGGGGGAGATAAAAAAAGTTTATGAAAATGCTCAATATAATAAAAAAATTTGCAATGCTTTTCTTGATCGTGTAGAAGCTGCTCAATCATC